CCCAGAGGAGTTTGGGAGGGAAACCCGGGCAGATCCGACCCTCCAAAAGTACAAAGACAGGGCAGATGCTGGAGAGGAAGGAATAGATGGGGAACGGTATGAGTGGGTGGGGGACAGGTTATATAGGATCCCTAAACCTTCCCAGAAGAGTGTTGCCTCTCCGCCGAATCGCCAGTTAGTGGTACCTGCAAAGTACCGGCAGGAGATTCTGCGGATAGGGCATGATGTTCCGTTAGCTGGACATCTAGGGTCCCGCCGCACAGCCTATAGGATCTCACAGAATTTCTTTTGGCCAAACTTTAACCAGGCTGTGCGGATGTACTGCAGTACGTGTGACACATGTCAACGGGTAGGAAAGCGGGGGGACCACCCTAAGGCTAGGCTATTATCGATGCCTATTATAGGGGAGCCCTTTGCCCGCATAGCCGTTGACATCGTGGGTCCACTGGCCAGGGCTAGTCCATCAGGTAAGAAATACGTTCTTACCGTGGTGGACTATGCCACCCGCTATCCAGAGGCAGTAGCGCTGTCTAACATAGAGGCAGAGACGGTTGCTGATGCCCTGGTTAGAATTTTTACTAGGGTCGGGTTCCCTAAGGAGATTCTCTCCGACCAGGGAACCCAGTTCACCGCTGTGCTCACCCAGCAGCTGTGGAAGGTGTGTGGCATTAAGCCGTTACTTAGCTCACCCTACCACCCACAGACTAACGGTCTCTGCGAGCGCTTTAACGGTACCCTCAAACAGATGCTGAGGACCTTTACAGACACTTGCAGAGACTGGGAGAGATTCCTGCCTCATCTATTATTTTCTTATAGAGAGGTGCCCCAGGAATCTACTGGGTTCTCCCCCTTTGAGCTGCTGTATGGGAGAAGGGTCCGCGGACCCCTAGATCTCATTAGAGGCCACTGGGAGGGGGAGACGGAGCAAGAGGGGACCCCCATTGTGCCATATGTTCTGGAACTCCGGGACCGCATGGAGAAACTGTCCCTGATGGTAAGGGAGAATCTCCAGGCGGCCCAGGGGAGACAGAAGAGATGGTACGATCAGGGTGCCCGACAGCGGGTCTTCCAGGTTGGGCAAAAGGTATTGGTGCTCAAACCTGTGAAGGCCAACAAGATGCAAGCATCTTGGCAGGGCCCGTACAAGGTAGTGGCGCAGATCTGCGACACTACTTACTTGATAGCCAGCTGTGCAGATGAGAGGATCCAGCGGTCCTTTCATGTGAACATGCTGAAAGAGTACCAGGAGAGACCTGAGAATATTGCAGCAGTATGTGCCCCAGCTGCAGATGATTCTGAGAATTTACCCCTTCCAGATCTATTAGAAAGGGATTCCCAGACTGACCTTACTACCTTGGTACAGCTAGGGGACCGGTTGAACCCCACAGAAAGGGTACAGGCGCAGCAGTTGTTATGGGAGAAGCAGGCGACGTTCTCCCAGGAACCAGGTTATACCACCCTAGCTGTGCATAAGGTAGAGACCCCTGGACAGACCCCGTTACGACAGCCCCCCTATCGTATCCCTGAAGCAGTCCGTGAAGGAATGCGGAAGGAGATACAGGAGATGACCCAGCTTGGGGTCATCGAGCACTCCGACAGCCCTTGGGCCTCGCCTGTAGTCCTGGTGCCCAAGAAAGATGGGACCACCCGGTTCTGTGTGGACTACAGGCGACTCAACGAGCGGACCACCACTGACGCCTACCCAATGCCCCGGGTAGACGAATTACTGGATCGTATTGCCAGGGGGCGATATCTGACCACCATAGACCTGTGTAAGGGCTACTGGCAGATCCCCCTGGCCGAGGATGCTATCCCCAAGTCGGCATTTGTCACCCCATTTGGCCTGTACCAATTTAAGGTCATGCCTTTTGGGATGAAAAATGCACTGGCTACCTTCTAACGGATGGTGGATAGACTCCTGGATGGCTTCCAAGAATTTGCCTGTGCATACTTGGACGACATTGCGATTTACAGTGGGTCCTGGGAGGAACACCTGGTACATGTAGGGGTAGTACTGGATAAAATTCGGGCCGCTGGCCTGACATTGAAGCCAGAAAAGTGCCATCTAGGTATGGCTGAAGTACAGTACCTGGGTCACAGAGTGGGGTGTGGGAGCCAGAGACCAGAGCCAGCCAAGGTAGAGGCAGTGGCTAACTGGCCCACATCTACTACTAAGACCCAGGTATTGGCCTTCTTGGGGACGGCAGGGTACTATAGACATTTTGTCCCTGACTACAGCGCTATTGCTAAGCCCCTGACAGACCTGACCAAGAAAAACTTGCCTAAGCAGGTCCTGTGGTCTCCGGCTTGTGAAGCTGCGTTCCAGGCACTGAAGCAGGCTCTTGTGAATGCCCCTGTCTTGGCTGCCCCAGTCCCTAACAAATGCTTTCTCGTCCATACAGATGCTTCCATGTATGGACTGGGGGCTGTGCTGAGCCAAGTCGGGGAAGATGGAGGAGAGCACCCTGTCGCATATCTCAGCATAAAGTTGTTACCCAGAGAAGTGAGTTATGCGGCAGTGGAGAAGGAGTGTTTGGCCTTTGTCTGGGCATTGAAAAAGTTAAGCCCCTATTTGTATGGGCAAGAATTTTCCCTTGTGACTGATCACAACCCACTCGTTTGGCTTAACCGGGTCTCAGGAGACAATGGGAGACTGCTGAGATGGAGCTTGGCCCTACAGCCCTACAATTTTACCATCAGCTACAGACCCGGTAAGCTGAACGGGAATGCAGATGGGTTGTCACGACAAACAGACGCTTCCCTCACCTCGTAGTCCGGTCATCCCCAAGTTGACCCGCCACAGGGTCAAGCCGGGTCTGCCGGAGTGTCCCACAAGGAGGGAGCCGTGTGACAGAACCATCTGTCTGCTTGGATTTTTTACTGCATTCGTCTGTTTGTCCCCCGTTCGTATGAATGGCTGGTTTCTATAGCCCAGCCATTCGAATGACTCTTTTTCCCGAACAAACCTGCCGAACGAACGGCCACCCAAGTGAGGAGTGTGCTGCTGGTTAATGAAGTGATCCCAATTAGAACGTTGTGGTTAACCGCAGACACTTCTCAATTAAACCGAATTCAGGGTGGTCGTCGTTCGTATGTCGACCACGAGGCAGCGGCCATTTTAAATCAAGCGAACGCCCAGCGGTGTTGGCTCTATTTCTATGGAACTGAAAACGGACACTTTTTCTGCCGAACACCGCTGAAACAACGGTACGCCTGGCTGCCTCCACGAAAGCATGCGAACACCGGCCGTTCGGGAGATTGAGAGCATACGAAAAGACTTAACCCAGATACCCTTCCCATGGAGTCATTCGTATACCGAAAGACTGTAAGAACTTTGACTCCATGGCGATTGAACTATGTGTGTGGGATCTGAGCGCTATTCGCTAATAATATGCACTCAGATCCAGGCTATCTGGGGACATGTAATACGAATGGGAAATGTTCGGTTTTCAAGTAGTTATATATTTTTATGTCTTTTATTATTTTATGTCTAAGATGGCGACTGGCTTTGTCCTGGAGTTAATTGAGTTACTTGTTAATTAACTCCAAGGCAGAGGGGAGGGAATCATAATGCACTGTGGGTAAAATCTGTGACTGTGTGTCTGGAATGTCCCCCTATCTGTCTGTCATTTAAGTCTCCCATTTGGTCCCTTAGGGGAGTGTCCACCAGGTGGGAGACCTGCATAAATACGGGCAGGTAGCCCACAGTAAAGCCAGATCCTGTTTGACCCTCAATGCGGAGCTTCTGTTTCGTTATTGGGGGGGATTTCTTCTTCACGTTTAGAGACTGCTGGATGGAACGAAAGCCGCTTGGGGAATATTGCTGTTCGACGGTTACCAGCAGTTCGTGTATTGCCGTTCGGGAGTTTGGAGCCGTTCACGGATCTCGATCGGGAGATTGCCGCTTCCCCTGCATTTGGTTCGTGGGTTACAGAGTAAGCGAACGGAGACTGTACTGCAGCCGGGGAAGGTCTACTAAACAGCGGTTTGGCTTAAAGACACTAGAGGTGTCTTAACACCTATCAATATTGTCCTCCTGCAAGAAGAGCGGCATTTTATAGACTAGGAGACATTCTGATTGGCTTAAAGCACTATGCGATTGTGTTGCACTGTCACTTTAAATTGCTTAGCATCTATTAGAACCCAGTGATGGCTGGAATATAGTGATGTATAAATCCCATTTTATCTAGTTTGTGCAGCACTTTGATGTTAAAACACCAGACCTGTTGACACAACTCTTTTTTCGATCCCACGTTGGAAGATCTCACAATTAAAACATTTGTTTGATGTGACTTTTCTCTGTAATGGTGGTTTAAGCAACGAGTGGTAAAAGGTAACCTTAACATTCTCAGAGTGGTGGTGGGGGGGAGTTTATTAAAGGGACAGGGTCCTACACTGCATGTTAGCATGCAATAAAGAATTATGCTGGGATTTACTAAAATGTTAATGTGTGGTGCCGGACACGTCCTTATTATTAAGCCATGGAGTGGTCCCTGTGGAATTCGGTTTTCTGTTCTATTAACATTGCTTGAAGTGCGCCCAGATAGAAGATTAGATTAGCATCGTGTTTCCTCTCCCCAGAAACGCTCTGCTATCTTGTATAATACAAATTGTCTTGGTGCGCTAGGCTGTCACTAATGATGCACAAACCTATACTGGCAGCGCAGGACACTTTCTTTCAATCTCCCTGCACCCATGGAGACAATAAACACCACAGACATGAGAGCAGAGCCAGGCAGACCATGGGAAGATGCCCCCTGGTTAATTGGAGCAGAGTAACAGCTCGGGCTCCATGTCAGAAAACTGCCTGGTTTTGGCAGCGAGCAAAGTCTTCACAATGCAATGCTCCAACAATTAATCATTATTATTAAGTGACCCTAGATTAATTTTATATTCATGGGAACATCAATTAAACAACAAGGCAAGACGGAGGGAGCTGTGATAATGTAATTAAGGACAGGACATTTGGATAATAATGTGGGTCATTTAAAGATGGATGCCTGGCTGGCAGTGGGTGACGGCTGGCATGGGGCTGGCGTGGGCGATGGCTGGCAGTGGGTGATGGCTGGCAAAGGGTGATAGCTGGCAGTGGGTGACGGCTGGTGTGGGTGACAGCTGGCAGTGGGTGATGGCTGGCAATGGGTGACAGCTGGCAGTGGGTGACGGCTGGCAATGGGTGACAGCGGGCAGTGGGTGACAGCGGGCAGTGGGTGACAGCTGGCAGTGGGTGACGGCTGGCGTGGGTGATGGCTAGCAATAGGTGACAGCTGGCAGTGGGTGATGGCTGGGAGTGGGTGACGGTTGGCAGTGGGTGATGGCTGGCAGTGGGTGATGGCTTGCGTGGGTGACGGCTCGCAGTGGGTGATGGCTGGCAGTGAGTGACAGCTGGCAGTGGGTGATGGCTGGCAGTGGGTGACGCTGGCGTGGGTGACGGCTAGCAATGGGTGATGGCTGGCAGTGGGTGACAGCTGGCAGTGGGTGACAGCGGGCAGTGGGTGATGGCTGTCAGTGGGTGATGGCTGGCAGTGGGTGACAGCGGGCAGTGGGTGACAGCTGGCAGTGGGTGATGGCTGGCAGTGGGTGACGCTGGCGTGGGTGACGGCTAGCAATGGGTGATGGCTGGCAGTGGGTGACAGCTGGCAGTGGGTGACAGCAGGCAGTGGGTGATGGCTGGCAGTGGGTGATGGCTGGCAGTGGGTGACAGCGGGCAGTGGGTGATGGCTGGCAGTGGGTGATGGCTGGCAGTGGGTGACAGTGGGCAGTGGGTGACGGCTGGCAGTGGGTGATGGCTGGCAGTGGGTGACGCTGGCATGGGTGACGGCTGGCAGTGGGTGATGGCTGGCAGTCGATGATGGCTGGCAGTGGGTGACGCTGGCGTGGGTGACGGCTAGCAATGGGTGATGGCTGGCAGTGGGTGACGGCGGGCAGTGGGTGACGGCTGGCAGTGGGTGACGGCTGGCAGTGGGTGACGCTGGCATGGGTGATGGCTGGCATTAGGTGACGGCTGGCAGTGGGTGATGGCTGGCAGTGGGTGACGGCTGGCATGGGTGACGGCTAGCAATGGGTGATGGCTGGCAGTGGGTGATGGCTGGCAGTGGGTGACAGCTGGCAGTGGGTGACATTGTCTAGTTTGCGTTGCCTGCAGTTTCAAGGACACTTTTAACACACAGGGTTTATTTCTGACATTTCAACAATCTGAATGGAGACTGGAGACGGACAGATTCTTTGAATGGATTCCAGTTTCTATATCTGTATAACATGACCTAATTCTACGCCGCTGGCAGCCTCACTCCTGGCAAAGTTCATCCCTTCATTATGTACACGTACCACTCCGGCAGAGGACAGACTGCTAACCGATCATTTAAAAGGAAACAAAAGTGAAGAATTAGATGACTGATAGATCACCAGCTCTGCAGCGGGCTCACGGAAGTCTTATATATTATATGATGTTGTTATATTATATTATGTTATATATACCTTCTTAAAGTATGTGAAAGCTGAGGGTTCTGTACCGCAGGGGGAAATCAGGCTCGGTCTGTCTGCCAGTGGTCCTGATAGATTTTCCAGGTAGGTGAAAGGTGGGATCACATTCACACGAACAGACATGAGGACACATGTCAGGGGGAATGCAAAGCCAGAAACTGGGATACTGAGAAAACCAATAAAATGAAAAGAATGAAACATTTTCAGAATCACAGAAATGCACACACTGTGATATTAAAATATATCACAGAATTCACACACTCAGCACAGACTTCTCAGCACTCTGATACCTCCTTGCACTTACACATTGCTCAAATCCACCGCTCCATTCACACACACTGCTCAAATCCACCGCTCCATTCACACACACTGCTCAAATACACCGCTCCATTCACACACACTGCTCAAATACACCGCTCCATTCACACACACACTGCTCAAATATACCACTCCATTCACACACACACTGCTCAAATCCACCGCTCCATTCACACACACACTGCACAAATACACCGCTCCATTCACACACACACTGCTCAAATGTACCACTCCATTCACACACACACTGCTCAAATCCACCGCTCCATTCACACACACACTGCTCAAATACACCTCTCCATTCACACATACTACTCAAATACACCGCTCCATTCACACACACTGCTCAAATACACCGCTCCATTCACACACACTGCTCAAATACACCGCTCCATTCACACACACACTGCTCAAATACACCGCTCCCTTCACACACACATTGCTCAAATACACCGCTCCATTCACACACACTGCTCAAATACACCGCTCCATTCACACACACTGCTCAAATCACACACACTGCTCAAATACACTGCTCCATTCACACACACTGCTCAAATCCACCGCTCCATTCACACACACTGCTCAAATCCACCGCTCCATTCACACACACACTGCTCAAATACACCGCTCCATTCACACACACTGCTCAAATACACCGCTCCATTCACACACACTGCTGAAATACACTGCTCAAATCCACCGCTCCATTCACACACACACTGCTCAAATACACCTCTCCATTCACATGCTGCTAAAATACACCGCTCCATTCACACACACTGCTCAAATACACCGCTCCATTCACACACGCTGCTCAAATCCACTGCTCCATTCACAAATCCTAAAATGGACCCGAGCCTGCGCGTTCTGACAAATGGCGCGCTGCGCCCCATATTAATGATCTGTATGATGTGGGTTACATATTTACAATACCCAGCTAGTACTCTATTAACATCACTGGTAGGGACACAGCGAGGACTTATATACACAATGCCAGGGCGCAGATCTATAGGTGGATCAGTTACCATGGAAACCAGGGAAAACAATGCAACGCTCCAGTTGATTGCTCCATCTAACAGTTTACCCTAGAATTGCTCAGAATTTACAAACCCATTGTAATAATACATCTAGAGGCTTTGTGTAGTGAGTCTCTATCATCCGATGCCATCTCTTTGAAAGCAGCTAGCATTTGGTGGTGAGGTATTGGAGGCCGCTGGAGCAGTAGACAGTATGGTGGCATCCCTCCAGCCCCAGGCTGTTGCATGGGCCTGCATCTCTGTGCCACAAACTCTGCAGCTTCTGGAGCCCGAGTTTCCTCCTCTTTCGGGGGTAGTGGAGGGCCTGATGGACTTTGGCCGTTTGCAGTGTTGGAGCCTCCGTGGGTGTGGGCGATGCATCTGGGTCTTCACCCTTTTGGCCTCCAGCCCGGGTAGGCTCTGTGGTTTGGGGTTGCGTGGGTCATCCGTCCCTATGCCCAAGGGTATGCCCCTATGTCCCCGCTGCCGGATGTCTCGCTTACCCGCTGTTCGTGCAGGTCCCTGTGCGGTCTGTGTTGTTTTCAGGCGGTTTCTTAATTTTGCCCAGAATCGTCTGAATATTTTGTTCAGGCGCTGTGTGGTGTCGTGGTAGATTGTTGCTTGCGGGAGCAGGTTCAGCGTGAGCGATTCGCTACCAGCCGCCATCTTAGGAGTGCCTCGTGGCACTCCTAAGTGGAGAGATCAGCGTGGCACACACTGTGCGGACCGGGATAACCCCCGCCGGTCCAGAGTGGGGGGGGGGGTAGGAAGTGAGTAATTTGGAGGTTCCCACTGCGGTGTCGTCCGCGAGGAGAGTGGCCGCCTCTCCTCGGCAGGGTCTCAAGTAGGCCTCTTGGTACGGGTGCCGGTTCCCGGGTTAATGTCAGGTTAACGATTGGTACCTGTCGATGCGCCCGGGTGTCTCCGGCTGTGCTATCACCCTCCAGGTGCTGTACGTGCATGTTTTTCAGGGTTTTTCCCCAAAATTGTGCCGATTTAGTCTGGAGCTCAGTCTCAGCACGTCCATGCAGCCTGGAAGCCAGGCTCCACCCCTCCGTTCGGTAGTTTTTGCACAAATTGGCGGCAGTGTGGAGGTCTCAGCGGTGTTTGCCTAACAGAATGTCCGATTTGGGTTCCAGACACTCGACGGCAAAACACAGCTGTTCGGGAGTTTAAAATGGCCGCCGCCACGTGTTCATCTCCCGAATGGCGGCCACCCAGAGGACAAAGAACACACTACATGAATTGCCAATTACCCGTTTGCAACATTGTTGCGAACGCTAATTGAAGGCACACTCACTCCTGGGGTGGTCTGATTGTTCGGTAGTTTCACTCGCATAATATGAATGCTACATACACTTCGCATACACATGGCACAATTTAACCGAACACATAGGTATATACATAATTTTGAGGACAGCCCAATGCCATCCGCTACAGCGAATATTTGCATATATCTATACTGAAAACTTCCAGCAGCACAGAACAACCAATCAGAAAACATTTCAATATTACACAAACGGCCCTGACACACCCAGCTCTTCCTCTATGTTTGTAGCGAACCAAATTAAAGTTCCAAATAGAGTTCAAACAGCGAACAATCCAACAGAAATCCAGAAATAAACTTGTAATCCAGACTACGGTAGTGGGAACATCCAAAGTGTCCGTAGAATCCAGAAGCGAGGTATTAAGTGTTGATTACACTGAAAAGAAACAGAAAGAATTGAAAGGCATCTGAAATGATAAGTTGTCCATCATTCTACAACTGTCTATCAACTAAGTTCAATAGATGCAACGAATGTAATGGTTAACCGAATGTAACAGGCATCATACAGAACGCTAGTCTGATCTAAGCTTCATAACATCATAATAACTAAACACAAAATATACAACTGCAGAAAGTGTGAAACCTAAGGTTAGCAAGAATCTACAATTAGAAATAGATAAAAGCAGAATGAAAATTACCCAGGGTGGGAAACAAGAAAGAAAGGGCCGGAAATTTTCGCCTCCTGTCATTACTAAAATTAAGATTATAGGTACACTGCGTTAGAATAATCTACAATTTTATCACATGGTAGGAGGCTGAAGTGGTCTGGGTGACTAGTGTCCCTTTAATGCCTGCGTTTATTCATTTTGAAGACTTTACTGGTAGGTCCAGCGATATCCGCCTGACATGGAGCACCTCCACTGTGGATGGCCGGAATATTTACACGTTATCAGTGTGCAGGGTTCTTTGTTTAATTTGATCCGGAGGAACAGTCGGCTGCCTGGTGCCACAGGCACTGAAAGGTACGCATCCTTGAAATCGAGGCGGAAGTACTGTTTTTGACCGAACGCACATAATTATTATTGTTGCCATTTATATAGCGCCAACATATTCCGTAGCACTTTACAATATTGTGAGAGGGGGGGATGTAATTATAAATAGGACATTTACAAGAAAACTTACAGGAACAATAGGTTGAAGAGGGCCCTGCTCAAACGAGGCCATAAGCTTTCCTAGAGAGATGGGTTTTAAGGCACTTCTTAAAGGATTGAAGACTAGGGGAGAGTCTGATGGGGGTAGGCAGGCTATTCCATAGGAAGGGAACCGCCCGCCAGACGTCCTGCAAGCATGTGTTGGCCGTACGGGTGCGAGCAGCGGTCAGGAGGTGGTCACGGGCAGAGCGGAGGGAACGAGGAAGGGCATACCTATGGATCTGTGAAGAGATATAAGAGGGGCTAGAATTGTTCAGTGCTTTATAGGTATGGGTTAGCACTTTGAATTGACTCCTATAGGATACAGGAAGCCAATGTAAGGACTGGCAGAGGGGTGAGGTGTGTGAGGACCGACTAGAGAGGAAAATCAGTCTGGCGGTGGCATTCATTACAGACTGTAGCGGGGCAATACGGCTTTTGGGGAGACCAATCAGGAGAGGGTTACAATAATCCATGCGGGAAATTACTAGAGCATGGACCAGCTCCTTGGTAGCATCTTGTGTAAGAAAGGGGCGGAATCTACAGGATTTGGCAACAAACTGGATGTGAGGCTCAAAGGTGAGGCCAGAGTTAAGTATCACGCCAAGACAGTGCGCTTGCAAGGATGGACTTATGTGGATGGATACCACTGACTTGAAGGGAGAGCGAGATAGAAGGCTCATGTGGCTTAAGTAGTTATG